TATCCATTAATCTTTGTCAAGGTTTATTATTAATTTTTGTGGAAACTCTCTTTGTTAATTTGTTCTAATTTTGTCTGATTTGTGGTAATTCACTCACATCTGTTTATTTAATCCTTTTTTCACTTAGTGTTTGCTTTCCTTTTTAACTTAAAATTTAAAGATAGAAATTTGTTAAGGAGTCTTGATGCCAGCATTTTGGGATGTCCCCTTTTCCTTTCTAATAGGATTTGCATGAACATTATTTTCCTCTGCTTTTTCCTGGTATCCCACACCCTTAGATAATGTTCTGTTATCTTCTGTTCAATATATTTTATAATTTCTGTAGACATTTCTTATTTGGCCTATGAGTTATTTTATAATACAAAATATAAACTTTTGGAATTTGGGGATTTCCTAGGCATTGTTATTGGTTATTAATTTAGTTCTGGTTGATCATAAAGTGTACTGTGTGAAATTTCAGCCTTGTAAAGTTTACTGAGTCTTATGTTCCAACAGTATCCCGTTCTGGCCACTCTAAATATTTTCTCTATGTCTTTGTTTGCAGTAATTTGACTGGGATCCCAGTAGTTCATTATATTTTATTTATTTTTTTGTATTTTGACTTCTTAGAGTTGGTTGATTCCCTTTCTTCTGTAAGTCAATGTTTTCAAACATGAATATAATTTTTTTGCAGTACCTTTTTAGATGTTTTATTCTCCACCATTTTCTTTTCTCTGGCTGGGATTCATATTACTTATGCAAGAGTGCTTGCTATTATTGTTTAATAATTGGTCCCTTAGGTTGGTTCATTTACCTTTAGCTGTTTTTCTCTCTGCGCTTTGGAGTATACAATATTACAATTTAAATTTTTCTTCTGTGATCTTCAATTTGCTATCAAGCTAAGTGAAGTTGTAAATTTCAGTTATTAAAATGTTCAGATCTTGAATTCCTATTTATGTGTTTATTTATTTATTTTTATTGGTTCTTTTTAGTTACACATGACAATAGAATAATTAGACATAATTTCATGAGAATGGGATATATCTTGTTCTATTTCATTCTCCAGCACCTCTTACTTCCACGCCCCTTCCCTCCATTGCCTGCTCCCTTCCCTCTACTGATCTTTCTGCCAGCTTGTATTTTGGAAGAAATTTTGCTCATTTTCTCTCTCTCTCTCTCTTTTTTACATTTCCAATGGATGCACACAATGGTGATATTTATTGTGATATATTGATATTTGTACATGGAAAGTTATGTCAGATTCATTCCCCTGTCTCTTTTTCCATCCCCCTCTTTCCCTTTCATCTCATCCACTGGACTTCTATTTTTTATTCCACCTTCCACCCTCTTATTGTAGACTAGCTTCCCCGTATCACAGAAAACATTCAACTTCTGTTTTTTGGGACTGGCTAATTTCACATAGCACAATAGTCCTCAGATCCATCCATTTACTGGCAAATGTCATAAAGCCCTTCATTTTTATGGATGAGAAATACTCCATTGTGTCTATATAACAAAATATCTTCATCCATTTATCTGTTGAAGGATACCTAGTTTGGCTCCATAGCTTAGCTATTGTGAATTGTGTTGCTATCAACTTTGATGTGGCTGTGTCACTGTAGTATGCTGATTTTAGATCCTTTGGGTATAGACCAAAGGGTGGAATAGCTGAGTCAAATGATAGTTCCATTCCTAATTTTTTTTTGAGGCAATTTTATACTGTTTTCCAGAGTGGCTGCACCAGTTTGCAGTCCTACCAACAATGTGAATGTACCCTTTTCCCCCGCAACTTAACCAACATTTATTCTTGATAATTGCCATTCTGACTGACTGAGATGGAATCTCAGTGTAGTTTTAACTTGCATTTCCCTAATTGTTAGAGGTGTTGAACATTTTTTTCTTATATTTGTTGACATTCATACTTCTTTTGAGAAGTGTCTGTTCCTTTGCTCATTTATTGATTGGGTTATTTGGGGGTTTTCTTGGTGTTACATTTTTTGAGATCTTTTTATATCCTGGAAATTAATGTCATATCTGAGGAACAGTTGTCAAAGATTTTCTCCCATTCTGTGGGCTTACTCTTCATGCTGTTAGTTGTTTACTTTGCTGAAAAGAAGCTTTTTAATCTGTTTTCATCCCATTTGTGGATTTTTTATTTTGTTTCTTGCTCTTTGGGAGTCTTAAGGACAACATGTTGGAGTGTTATCCTACTCTTTCTTCTCACAGGTGCGGGGTTTCTGTTCTAATTCCTAAGTCTTGAATCCACTTTAAGGTGAGTTTTGTGCAGGGTTATAGATATGGGTTCACTTTCATTCTACTCCATATGGATTTTCAGTTTTCCCAGCACTATTTATTACAGAGACTTTTTTTTTCCAACATGGGGTTTTGGCACCTTGGTCTAGTATGAGATAACTGTATTTATATGGAATTGTCTCTGTGTCTTGTATTTTATTCCATTTATTTTCACGCTTATTTTGGAGCTAGTACCATGCTGCTTCTGTTACCATAGCTTTGTAGTTTAATTTGAAGTCTGGTGTTGTGATGCTTCTTGCTTCACATTTTTTTTTTACTAAGGATTCTTGGACCTTCCTGGGCCTCATATTTTTTCAAATGAATTTTGTGACATTATTTTCTATTTCTATGAGAAATGTCATTGGAATTATGATGAGAATCACAGTGAATCTACAGGGCACTTTGGGTAGTAGGGCCAGGTTGACAATATTAATTCTCCCTACCCAAGAACATGGGAGGTCTTTCCATCTTCTTAGGTCTTCCCTGTCTCTCTTCAGTGTTCTGTAGTTTTCATTGTAGTTGTCCTTCACCTCTTTTGTTAGAACGATTCCCAAATATTTTATTTTATTTTATTTTTATTGGAGTATTGTGAATGGAATAGTTTTCCTGATTTTTCAGCATATTCATTCTTGGAGTAGAGGAATGTGATTGATTTATGGGTATTGATTTTTGTATCCTGCTACTTTGCTGAATTCATTTATGAGTTCTAGATGTTTTCTGGTGGAGGTTTTGGGGTCTTCTAAACATGATAGGATCATGTTATCAGTAAATAGAGATAGTTCTAGCTCATCTTTCTATTCATATCCCTTTAATTTCCTTCTCTTGCTTAATTGCTCAGGCTAGATTTTCAGGACTATGTTAAATAGGAGTAATGACAGTGGGCATCCCTGTCTGGTTTCTGCATGTTTTTAGAAGAAATGATTTACTTTTCCTCCTTTCAGAATGATGTTGGGCTTGGGTTTGTTGTACACAGCCTGTACAATGTTGAGGTATGTTCCAACTATCCCTAGTTTTTCTAGTCTTTTAAACATGCATTGGTGCTGTATTTTTTCAAATGCCTTTTCTGCGTTTTTTGAGAAAAATCATGAGACTCTTGTCTTTAAGACTCTTTATGTTCTTTATTGATTTTCATGTGTTGAATGGACCTTGCATTCCTGGGATGAACACTCTTTGATCACAAAGCATTACCTTTTTAATGTGTTATTTTATGTGGTTTGCCAGTTATTTTATTAAGAATTATTGCCGGTATGTTCATCAAGGGTATTTCTGAAGATTTTTTTCCTTGATGTGTCTTTGTCTGGTTTTGGTATCAGGACAACCCTCACTTCATAGAATGATTTTGGAATAGTTCCCTTCTTTTCTAGTTCAAGGAATAATTTGAGGAGGATTTGTATTAGTTCTTTCTAAGTGTCTGTTCGAATTTGGCTAAGAAAAAATAATCTGTTTTGGGGCTTTTTTTTTAGTAGACTTGATGGCTTCTTCAATTTCATTCCTTGAAATAGAAATGTGTTGAAGGTACAATGTTGGCTATTGCATTACGAATTATCATTCAAGTGAAGCAGTTACTTATATGATCAGATTTGACATTAGAGCTGTTCATAGTCTACCATGTCCAGATGGAGAAAATCTTGTTGAATCTTGTGGGAGGCCATCCTTGCATGTGATTGAGTTACCTCCCCGGCTGGGTGTGAGGCGCTCAGACACTAGGTGTTAGAGCTTTCCCTACCCTTCTTGGGTCCGAGGGCTTGTCCGTGTGGAGGCGTGCCTCACCACTGCCCTCAAAGATCCAATCATCTCACACTTGACCTTCACTGGATGGGATTTTCCCCAGAATTTTTTGTTCCCCAATAAAAGCCCTCTCCCTGGCCTGCTCTCTTGCTCTTGCTAGCCTCTTGAGTAAACCTTGCTACTTCCCTGGGTAGCTTGAGGCTGGGGTGCGAGGAGCCATCTGGAGCTGGTTTAAAGGTAATTGGAGTCTGTGTCTTTAATTTAAACTCCCTTAGTATTTTCCCACATGCCCTAGCCATTCATACCGTCTGCACTAAAGAATCTTGCCTGTGGATCTTTCCTGAGTTGCAGGGGCACAGGGGCCAAACTACCAGGAATTTCTGAATTGTCAGCTCAGGAGCCTGCATCTGACAGATAGAGGGTTCAATGTGGGGAGTTGGGTGCTTCTATTGATTGCAGTAGTTCCGTATGCAGGCTTTGGAGTGTCCCTAAATTACTTGTGGGTCACTGTATACTTGTTCCCTTCAGTTGGATCATATTCAGACCAGGGAAGCTCCCGATGGCGGTCTGTGAGTGCTAGAGTTCTGGTTTTGGTTTCTCCACAGGTGACCTGTGGTGCAGTAGTCCCCCCAGCTAATGCTCATTTCTGAGTTACAGTAGTGAAGGGTCTACAGCGGCTCCCTTTTCATCACTCTCATATTTGGATACCCCAGAAACCTTCACAATGACACTTCTCTGTCTTGGACAGCTTAAAACCACTTGGTGCCACCCAATCTGCCAGATGTCTATGGTTGCAGATTAGCATCTCTGTGAGCTGACCTGACCTCTTTGGCCCACATGCACTAGCAGCAGCTCTGGATTTTGGCTTTTTCTTAAGTTTATTTTAATTCCAAGGAGGAGCTCTGATATGCGGTATGACACAAGGATGTAAGCTAGAGTGGGATCGTGGAATTAGATGAAGCTTTTTAAGTGAAAACAAAACAAAGAAGCAAACTCTTGTGTAGAATGTGATTTTTTTTTGATTATCTCTGTTGGAGACCCAGTTCTTACAAGTTCAAAGGGGAATCAACATGACCGAAAACAGGGCGGGGACACTGGGCAAGTCCCCTGTAAGTCATGCTTTACTCTTAATTGCCACCATCTACAGACTCAAGAATAGCAAATTGTAGGAAGATTACATAGAGTATCAGAGTATCAGGACAACTCAGAATACAATATCAGTTGGGTATGAAGTAATCTTTTTCCTTAGTGTCCATAGTCAAGTTTGAATTTAGAGGAAGTTTTAGCAGGTGACATCCCAGGATGATCTCTGTTCCTGATTAGCAGAGTAAGTGATTTTGACACTTCATTAAATATCTTTGAACTTTAGTTTTCTAACAGTAGATGAGAAATACATACCCATACCATGTAATACATTACCATGTAAGCACATCTGCAGTGACAGAACTGTTATACATTTATATATAAATGTATAACAATATGTGTGTATGTGATATATATATATATATATATAAATTAATATATATATATTATTGGTGAGGTTATAGGCAAGAAAATGTTTAATTAGCATCTGAGTCAACTATAAGAAAATAAACAAAAAGAAAGGAGGCATTTTATGGCAAAACAATACAATACAATAATACTCCTTGGGCATTGAGCCACAAATAGGGCATCCGTAGTCTTGGACACGTATTATGGTAAATGTCCCCAGGCTCTCCAAATTTCCAACTCAGCTCCGGATTCTTCCCCATCACACCTCCCCCACACTGGAACTGCTCCCTGGGTTCTTCATGTCGCTCTCTACTTTCCCATCAAGTGTCCTTAGGAGAGTGGGTGTGCCTGTCTGTTGCTTGTCTGCCACACACTACACAGAGTAAAATGGAGAAAACTGTCCATGCACCTTTTAGGGCTCATAGGAAGATTAAAGGACACAAAACAATTTACAAAATACCTGGTACCAATATGTGATCGATAAAAATACAAGAGTAAAATTTCTTTGCAGACATCTGCTTCCTGCTATTCTACTCTAAAGAAAATCAGTTCTCTTCAGTGATTGCCAAATGCAGAAGTGCCTGGGCAGCTTCCTGATGGATTCACCCACAGGGAATGTAAGGAGGCGGAATTGTGGGGGGATAGCCATGGAGGCCTATTGGTACTTGGGTAGATTAATGGAACTACGTATTTCAGATACAGGGAGTACATCAGGGAGGGGCAGAAATTCTTTTAACATTCTAGTGTGTTCATGCTAATCAACAGACGACACCTCCACATAGTCCCCAGTTGTGGCCTCTCTAGGAAACAGATTTTCAAAGATATCCCCTCTTCTGTGCTAAAGCAAACCCTCCCAGTATAAAGGGGTTTGCAATTATAGCCCAGGGTGAATTTCATTGCCAAACATTCTTTTTTTCTCTTTTTGAGGAGGTCATAGCCTATTCAATGGTGACTAAGGCCTAGCATTGATTGAGAAAAAAATTATTAATCATAGTTACAATTATAGAAGTTATAGATGGCAAAATATAGAATTTAGAACCCACAAAAAAGTAGAAAGTAGAAAGACTTTTAATTAATTTCTTCAATTCCTATTTCCTAAAATTAAGTGCTATTTTTGTTTTTATTCATTTATTACTCATTTATTTGTGTGGTGCTGGGGATTGAACCCAGGGCCTCATGTTTGCTAGGAAACCACTGTACCACTAAACTTTATCGTCAGCACAAAAGCTGGGTTTCATATGTATGATATTGTAATATGTATCTTTTTTTCTGTACTTGGTTCTCATCTCCATGAGCACTGTTATCCATGGCATCCTGGCTTTTAGGAGGATTCTTGTGAAGTGTTCATATTTGAATTACAATTGAGTTGTCCTCTGCTGAATCTCCTGGCCTTGATTACCTTGAAGAAGAAAGTAAGAAGTTGAGATGCAGCTGGCCACACATTTCTCTCTTCACCCACAGGGTCTCCTCCCCATGAACCTCATCTCTTTTCTCACTCCTGCTTATCTCCTATAACCATTCCTGTGGTTGGAGACACCTTTTTGCTTAGGACTAGAAAATCAGCTAGTCACTTTATCCAGCATGAACATAGGTGATATCAGGAAACAGCAGAAGAGACAAGAGCTGGTAGACCCTATGGCAAAGCTGAGGGGAGGTTTTCATTGGGCAGAAGGGAGGGAGGAAGTTACAAAAGGCTTTCCTAGTGCAACTGGTGGGAGGAATATTTGACTGATGGTCCTGAGGATCAGAGAGATCTCTGCAGGTGTGCTTCAACAGGTCGTTTGCACATATCAGTGGCTTGAACAGGTCAGCCTTTTTATTTTATGTCTTTGCTGTCCAGCATCAGCCTTTTGCAGTGTGCCATGACTTGCACATGAATGTGTGCATCAGTGTGACAAAGAGCACAGACACTGTCATCTACCATTTCTCTAAAGGGAAGTACTTGTGTTCTGATTTGCTCAGGGCAGCATTGGTAACCTAGATCTCTTAGGGGTTTTGTTATGTTAGAAAATATTTCCCCACTTTATAGATGGTGACAGAGAAGTGGCTCGTGTTTTAAATCTTTAGTCAATTAGAAAATCACAGAGCCAAAAGTTGAAACAAATCTTCCTTAATCAAACCCAAATCTCTCATTAAATTATTTCCTTACTTTGGTTAATTCAACATATCTTCATTATTTACTTTAAGGAAGAATGAATTTTTAAAGTCTCTGAATTTACTTTATTTATTACGTTTAAAAATAGAATTAGCTTTTAAAAATGATGTTCATATGTCCTAATCGGCAGAGCTTAGTTTTTCTTCCCACATGTTGAACACTCTAACAGCATAGAGAGTTTATTTTCCCGAAAGTACAACATAAAATATATAAATATACTTGTTTTGGAAGAATGATATTCCCATAGCACACCCACCTTGATGTAACTGTGGAATACAGATCTCAGCTGCCACTTATCTGCATTCAAGGTCAGTTCAAAACAGAAGAGATTAAGTTTATCTCCTTCTTCACAGTTGATATAGGTCAGCCGTCCATACACCACCACTTCCATCTTCCCTGTATCATCCTGTATTTCATAATAAGTGCAATCTTCCCTCACAGTTTTCTGCAAAAGATTATGAACACTCATCTTCTGAGAAATGTATCAGGAATTCTTATGTATTTGACAAATATAGGCTATAAATGAAAATGTTTATCTCTGGCAAGGTAAATAGATCTGAAGTTTCTGAATCGCAGGTAACAAAAACTTAGGGTGTTTTCCACCGAACATCTCTCAGGCTTTCCTGATTTAATGTCTGCATCTGTAAGGTTTTTCTAGAAAACCTTATCTTCCTAATCTGTTTCTCTATAGGCATAGTCACTGTAAAAATCTGATTACCTGTATAGGTTTCTTTGATACCTCCACAAGAAAAGAGAAGAAAGGTCATTTAAGGCTCCCTGCGTGAGGCTGAGGAAAACTATTACATTTCCTCATTAAGTAGATTGTTATCTCAATATACAATTTATTGTTTGTCTTCTTCATTGACTTTCTCTTCTCCAAATATTAAATCCAGGTCATCTAGTCCCAATGTTTTTGGTCATATATCACCATATTTATTAGTTCTACAGCCACATATATTTGCACTATTTAAACAGAGTGTACAGAAAACATCACAGGTAAAGGAAAAAGGTTGAGCTCAGAGGGTTACAAGCTCAAGGCCAGCCTAGTCAACTTGGTGAGGTCCTGTCTAAGTAGATAGATGATTGACAGATAGACAGACAGGCAGGCAGACAGGTCTAGGAACATAGCTCCATGATTGATTATCCCTGGTTTAAATCTTCACTATCAAAAGAGAACAACAACAAAAACAGACCATCCTCAAAGACATACATAGCAGGTTGACACACTTCCAACAAGCCATTATGTCAGCTAAGGGTACTAAGTTGCACGGTGTATCGGGACTGAAAGACCCTAAGTCTAAGAATTCACCAAGCTTCTTTGCCAATTGAGGGGTCTCTGATTGAGACTATAGGTCTCTGACCTTTCAGCTTCTATGCTTCTCTTATGATTTCATGCAGAGGTCAGTTGCTCAACCATCTCTGGATGAAAAGTAATGAATGGAAAAAGGTGTGAGCCTTTTAAAGGGACAAGAGTCCAGCTGATCAGAATCTGAGGTCACTATTAAATATCACCACATCCTGGGGCAGAGTCATCTGTTTGGTTTCTTGTTATGTTTACCACAACCAGATCCAGATTTGGGAGGTCAACTCTTTATTTACAATTAAGTTGTCATTGATACCGATAGGGAAACCTCAAGCAAAATCCTAAGGATACATGGGCTGAGATGAACTATGCGGTGTTATAGACTGGAGTAGCTGTGAAAGTATCAGAATAGCTGTTAAAATGCCAAAGATTCTTGGTGAATCTCTTTCTGGAGAACTCTCCTGGTGAGATCCTGTAAAGACAACTGTTCTGAGACTTACTATGCCATACTCTGATGATGAAGTCTCCACTTCCCAGTCCCTGATCAGTCAGGACTTGATTTCCTCTGTTCAGTAAATTGACTTAACAAGTTAAGACTCTTACAATCTGGGCTTGCAGAAGAAACTTGACGAAACAGTGCTGTGGCTTACCTTATACACTGTGTACACCCCATTCACGTATTTTGTTGTGCTTCTTGAGCAAAGATACTCAATTTTAGGAGTTGCATTAGCATTTTTAATCAGTGTCTTTGAGATCTCCATCTTTCTGTCTGCGCTCACGTGAGACACAGTGGAAGCACTGTATAGCTCCAGGAAACCGTTTCGGCCAATGTAATCGGATATGGCAATAACTGTCTTTGGGATGAATTTGTCCTTCAAGTTGATGTCGAAAACTTTCACTCGGAAGAATTCGCTCTCGGTGGCCACTGTAGCATGAAACATCTTCTTCCCGCCTTCTTTGAACTCGTAAGTAAATGGTTCTGTTACTTTCAACACCACTACTTCTTTGGGGCCCTTCTGGTGACCACATTCTTCAGAGGCTTCTTTAGGTACAGTTTTTAATCTTGGATTCTACTTAGGAAATAACACAGCAAAAACAGGTACCGTTAAGACAGGGTGTCTTGGGTCACTATCTAGTGAGAGCTGACTCAGTGCTGATTCTCAAGGCACATCAAGAAGATTCTCAAGGTTGATCCTCAAGAAAACAGTACTTGGGCAGAACTGGGGGGAAATCTAGACAACACTAGCATAAATAGTATAATTTAGGTGGTGGAATAAATAAGAAGATTTAGGTAGTCTTTTCACCGGCACTATCCTCACAGATTCATAAACTAGTGTCTAATTTAACTGGAAGACGGAAGGGTAAGTGCTCACTAACAATCATATGTATCACTTCAATGAAGTGGAGTGTTATCTGAATGAGAATTCAGATGTAGGATGGGATCTCAAAATGGACTCAATAAAATGAGCAGCTGAACTGAAAAAATGTGGGAGAAGCTCTTCCAAGTTTGTAAATCCCTGTCATTCTAGTGTGGGAACAGAAAACTCTTACCGTGGGTAAGCCACTGCTGAAAGATGTCACAGTCTTCTGAGGAGTCTGCAGACTGGCAGATGGTGTTGCTGGCCACACTTGTGGATTCTGGATTATGGTGGATGGTTCTGTGGGATGGATCTGAGGAGTCTGGATTCTACTGGAGGATGCTGGAGATGAGTGAGGACCCTGGATTCCTCTGGAGGACGTTGGAGACAAATGAGGAGTCTGGATTCTGCCTGATGGATCTTCGGGACACATGTGAGGGGTCTGGAACTCACCGGGTGATGTCCGAGGTAAGTGTGGGGTGGGGTTTCTGCCATCTGGTGCTGCCGGAGGCATCTGAGGAGTCTGGATTTTGCTGCATGATGTTGGAGATGTGTGAGGACCCTGGATTCCTCTGGAGGACGTTGGAGAAAAATGAGGAATCTGGATTCTGCCTGATGGATTGGGGGGAGACATAGTTGAGGTCTGGACTCCGCTGGGTAATGTTAGAAGTAAGTGAAAGGCGTTGGTTCTGCCAGATGGGGCTGTCGGAGGCTTCTGAGGAGCGTGGACACTGCTGGGTGGCACTGTTGGAAGCATCTGAGGAGCATGGACACTGCTGGGTGGTACTGTTGGAAGCATCTGAGGAGCGTGGACCCTGCTGGATGGTGCTGTTGGGGGATTCTGAGGAGTGTGGACACTGCTGGGTGGTGCTGTTGGAAGCATCTGAGGAGCGTGGACACTGCAGGATGGTGCTGTTGGGGGATTCTGAGGAGTGTGGACACTGCTGGGTGGTGCTGTCAGAGGCTTCTGAGGAGCGTGGACACTGCTGGGTGGCACTGTTGGAAGCATCTGAGGAGCATGGAC